AAAATTCTTGTTATAATGATAAATTCTGAAACTGGTATATTAAAATTTTGGGGAAAATATTCAGTTCAAAGTAATATTGCCATGGGCTCTAATTGTAGTCCAAACATAGTACATTTATGTATTTTAATATAATTTGGTTTAATCAATACATATTTGTTGTACTTGTATTTAAAGATGACGTCATACTTTCAAACACTATTAAAATGTACCCGTTTGGACTTGAAATTTCACAAATTACTGAACCATTTTATGATAATGCACATTCCCTTAGATATGGAATTTACTGACAACAGATTTGTCTAATATAAAAAAATATATATATTCGAATAGCTTAAATTAATTTTTATGATATATATCAAGTTCTGCAGATGTCATTTTCATAATTGATAGTGTTAAAGTTATGTTTGTAGTTAAGAACAAAGCTACACAATGGGCTATCTGTGCTCTGCCCACCACGGGTACCGAAACCAGGTTTCTAGCGTTGTAACTCCGCAGACATACCGCTGTGTAGTGGGGGGGGGGCGTAATCGATAGTGTTAAAGTTATGTTTGTAATTAAGCGCAAAGCTACACAATGAGCTATCTGTCCTCTGACCATCACGGGTATCGAAACCCGATATTTAGCGCTATATGCTGACTCGCCATTTAAGTTATTAACTTATTGATCTAAAACCTAGGTTGTAAACAAAGGTCTTAAACCTAATCACAGTTAGATCGTTAGATAAATTAACTCTTGGAATACAGTTGCATACATATAGTTTTGAAAAGTCACAATAAAATAATTTCATTATGTTAAAAGTGGGCGATCAATGTGAACTATTTTTGTAACCCAACTTCTTTTGGCCTTATGTACTTACTATATCATTTAAATACAATAATTTCATTATGTTAAAAGTGGGCGGCCAATGTGAACTATTTTTGTAACCCAACTTCTTTTGGCCACATGTAATTATTATATCATTTAAATACAATAATTTCATTATGTTAAAAGTGGGCGGTCAATGTGAACTATTTTTGTAACCCAACTTCTTTTGGTCCCATGTACTTACTATATCATTTAAATACAATAATTTCATTATGTTAAAAGTGGGCGGTCAATGTGAACTATTTTTGTAACCCAACTTCTTTTGGTCCCATGTACTTACTATATCATTTAAATACAATAATTTCATTATGTTAAAAGTGGGCGGTCAATGTGAACTATTTTTGTAACCCAACTTCTTCTGGCCCCATGTACTTACTATATTATTTAAATACAACGTATACTCAGCTGTTTTCACTGTTACTATTTGTCGTGCAGTAGTAGTCATGAAATAGTTTAACTCCTCTTGTCTACATTACAAAATGTCTAATTTTGGTTATTTTCTCTTTGCAGATAGTCTTTTCTTAGTAGAGTTTGTGGCTTGTTCAACATCTCAACTAAGATAACCATTTATTTCCTATTTTATTATCTTCTTCACTATTCCACCTGCTTCTGTTTTTATGATATTTTAAGAAACCGCATATTTCATTTCAGATATGTGATTCACTATATGGCAAAACTGAACTTTTTATAGTTTAATATATAGGTGTTTTTTATATTTAACACTTCAAGACAGCACTGTTGAAAAACATCCTTTTAAAAAGAATAATGAAAAGTTTTATGACGTAAACCTCCGTTTGATTGAATGATATGTCAACAGCCTCTGTAAAGATCTTATTGTGCTTTCTCGTTATCTTTAGTAGTGGGAAATAGCTAGTGCTAAACAGTACATGGAGCTGTACATTAAAATGTAAAGTAAACGTATGATAAACGGTATTCAAACGATTTCAGTCTTAAATTTCAGATTGGATGTCTTCCATTTGACCTGCTTGGGTTTTGAATTGCATTCCTTCTCATTGTGAAATATTACACAATACTTGTATTTGTATTTTGATTTTTATGGATACCTGCCGCTGTCCCTCATTTTGAACTACTGACAAAAGGAAAAGCATCCGGTCATCATCCCCTCAAAATTAATTGATTATCTTCAAAATATTAATATTCTATACTTAACTGCAAACTGACAATCCAAGAGGCAATTAACATCTACAAAATACTAGTTTCTCGGAATAAAATATATTTAATGACATTCATTCCTTCGCTCCCATCCAGTAATTACCGCCAAATTCTATGTCAAATTATGTTGTAATGAATAGAAAACAACGTTATTCCTTTGTTTTTCTATTTTAACCTTTTGTTTCGAAGTGAAATTCGGATTTATCACCTTTAATATTACTGGAGGTTCATAATAAAACCAACTGTAGAAAGAAGCTACTCATCATTGAAATGTTAAGCTAAACAAATCACCTGATAATTCACTGGTCTTCCTTGAGGTTTACAGTAATTACGATATGTGACATACACCTGTCAAGTTCTAATGTTTGCAGGTATTTCTTAGTGATCAAATTTCTACGCAGGCTAACGAATATATATGACGTTATGACTTTAAGTTACGAATGGAAATTAATATGGATTGTACAAAATAATTTTAAAGCTTAATTTATATTTAATTCAATATTGTTTTATAGTGCTGATTTTAATCTCCAATTAAGAACTAACGTAATTAATATGATAATAGTTTGAAACTATTTTCTTTATTATATATATACATAGGACATTTCCAATTTATATTTCGTCCTCCGGGGAAACAGCGGTAATACTACGGACTTACAACGCTAAAATCCGTGGATCGATTCCCGCAGTGTGGCATTGAAAGATAAAACAAACATTTATATTTCTAGAAAATTTTTGTGCGTTTAAAACAGAAGCCTGATTGAAAATCAATAGCAGCTTAAGCTGGTTTAGAACAAATTTAGTCCTAGCACAAATATATTATTTTCAGCTTGTACGGCACTTTATGCAACACATTGACTAAACGACCAGATCATGGATCCAAGATTCAAGCATAGTCGTCCCTAACTAAAGACTTGCTTATCAAAAGACGAGCAACCAGTCATAAAACATAAGCCCTCTACACAGCTAATGTTAGCTAAGTAGCGGGATTGACTGTCATTTTTATAGAGCAGTGTGTTCGGGGGTATATCGCTGATTCAAACCTTGGACATTCCGGCTATAGCCTGACATGTTAACCCCTAGGCCGCGCAGTTATTCTCATAAAATTGATTTTTCTTACTCTTCTGTATATTAACTAATGTTTCAATCATTTCTAACTTTATTCAGATAACTATCACGAATCTAGGAAGTATTTTTTGAACCCTCTAAGCACTATGCCTACATTTTAACTTTCCTCACAAATACAAACGTATTTAACTAAAAATAGCTTGCACTATAATTTGATGAACAGCTGAGTTTGCTAAACCTTAATTCAGTGTTGGAAATTTTACTCGAATATATTAAAAATATATAATTTTTCTGTCTTGAGAAAGTAACAGCTCTGTTCAAACATCAATTACTAAAACGGTTTTACGAAAGTAAACCAGATCTTACAGCACAGATTAACACACAGATATCATGCTATAAAACGCTTCACCTCTTGTCAGACCGAATAATGGGAGCCCCACATTTGTGGGTGGATAGTGTATACAATAGTTAAAAAGGTCTAACATATCATTGTTCGGTCTGACAAGAGTAGTCCAGTAGTTGGGGGTGGATAGTGTGTACTATAGTTAAAACGTCTAACATCCCATCATTTGTCTGACAAGAACAGCCCAACAGTTGGAGATGAATAGTGTACACTATAGTTAAAAAGGTCTAACATCCCATTATTCGGTCTGACAAGAATAGCCCAAGCGTTGGGAATGGATAGTGTATACTAGAGTTAAAAAGGTCTAACATCCCATTATTCTGTCTGACAATAGTAGCCCAACAGGTGGGGGTGGATAGTGTATACTATAGTTAAAAAGGTCTAAAATATCATTATTCGGTCTGACAAGATAGCCCAACAGTTGAGGGTGGATAGTGTTTACTACTGTTAAAAAGGTCTAACATCTTTCTTGTCAGACCGAATAATGGG